AGAAGAATCTATGATTCCAGGGTGCTCAGGCCTTTCCTGCAGCTCCTCGTGCTTGTTCTCCTCACATCAGGCAGAACCACGGTGGGTGGGATATGTCCTGGCCCTGCAGCAGCCCCTGAGTGCCCCGGTGGGTGGGATATGTCCTGGCCCTGCAGCAGCCCCTGAGTGCCCCGTGCTGGTCACAGGGCTAGCTGTGCCAGGGCTGGCTGTGCCAGGGCTCAGCCCAAACTCTGGATTCCTCCTGGAGCTCCTGGCTTTGCCAAACCACCCCCGTGGCTGCGGCTCAGATGGTGCTAAACTCACTAAACCAGCGAGCAGAGCCCCAGCTGGGTTTGAGGAGCAGCAAAAATAGATTCACCTTCCCTCCCCAGCCCTTTCCCAGCRTCTCTTTCCGTGTTGTTTCTCCCAGTAATCCAAGGCAAAGCCTCGCTCCGGGTGGTAATTGAAAGATATTGCAGTTCTGCTGGCAGCAGGGCCGAATTAGGAGCAGTTATTTTATCAATAATCTTTTATTTAGCAATCAAGGAGATCTCAGCATTTGTTCTGCCCCGAGGCTGCCAGCCTTCCCGAGGGGAATGGTGTGAATGATTCCCRATCCTCGGGACAAAGCTCGGGCTTTGTCCTTGCTCTGCCCAGCCTCCCCTGGGCATGGAATGAGGTTTGATCACTCAAGAGCTCTGCAGGGCTGTGAGATGATGGAGTGAGAGTCTCTTTTGAGGTGCCATGGGCCCCCTGATCCTGCTGTTTTTCCTGTGGGATGGAGGGAGCCACGGCTCTGGTTCTGTGATGTTGAGTGTTTGTTCCAGCTCTGCTGGACATGAACTCAGTTCAGGGTTTTGAAGGTGGATGCTCTGGCTGTTGGGATATGGCTGGGTTCTTTTCGCTGTATTTTTGGGGTTGTGCCTTTATTTTTAGGGGCTTTTTGAATGTTTCTTATGGGGCTGTGAGCAATGGGTGAATGAAAATTTTCTTGGCACTTTTGTGTTCTCCCGAGTGCATAAAGAGGTCGGAAAGGGATTTTAGAGGTGCCTCTCCCAAATAAGACACAATCCCCCACAAACAGCTGAACTTGCAAGGCAGAACTGAGGGGTTTGGGCTTATCCAGACACTCAGATATTTGGGATTATCTGGCACCTGCAGGATAACACAGCCTGACACACCTCCCCATCACTTTTCCATGGTGATTGCTCCACGGGRGCTGGCTCTGTGTGCACAGCCACAACCAGGGACCGCTGTGACATTTCTTGGGAGCAGGAGGGCATTCCCCAGGCTGTGTGCCCTCTTAAGAGCACTTCAATAAAACATGGGGCCKAGCTGTGATCGAGGAGCCCGGCCCAGCTTGTCAGAGCCTGCTGGGGARCATCAATAGTTAATAGAAAGCCACTTATGGCTCTGCTCCTGCTAAATCCCCCATCAATTATAAATCCAGCGTGAATTATTCACTTGACATTACTTAAGTCATGCTCCGCTCCTAACAATTTTTTTTTTTTTTTTAATTTATTTAAATACTCGGTGGTGAGGTTGTGGACTTGCTACACACTGTCGAGGTTTAAGGGGGGGTGGTGAAGGGACAAATTTTTTTCTCAGGCTGGGTTGGAAATCCTGTCTTGTTTCAGAGCTGCTGCCTGTATGTTTATATATATATATATATATATATATGCAATATACAAAATAGAAGGTATTTCATTATCTCAACTTACATTTATCAGTGATGGAAGCACTGGAAAATCCCATTCCACCATCCCCAGCCAGGCTCAGGGCAGCTCTTTCCATCCATCCCTCGTTTCCCACCCAGTTCAGGGCAGTTGGGAGGCAGCCTTGTGCCATCCAGCAGGGAATATCCAGTGAGGAGCAGGCACGGGAGCTGGAGAGCTGGCTGCCAGGCAGATGGCTCTGCCTCATAAATTTTGTAAGAAGGATGGGTTTTGAACCCTTTCCAAGCATGTTTGGTAATGGTGGGGGCAGGACTTAGCCCTGCTGGTGTCTCTTTGCTCTGGGTTTTCCTCCCTGGAGCTGGAACTCCTCTTCCAGTGAAATCTGGATCCCAGCCTGCAGCAGCTCCTCAGCTGCTGTGCTGACACCCAGAGAGGCCAGAGCCAAACCCCTGGTGTCCTCAGGCTGTGGCAGACACTGTGGAATCATGGTGAATAGCGAGGGATGGATTTCCAGCTTGGAATTAATCCTGGCGAGCTTCAAACCAAGCTCTGCTCTCTGGGTTTAATGTGCATGCACTGATGTTCGTGTTTGTCCCCTCCATGTGTCCCCCTGGTGAGGCTGCAGTGCAGGAAAKGAGGAAACAGAGGCTGGGAAKGATGGAGAAAGGCTGGGAGCAGRTCTGGAGCAGGGATTGGGATGATGAGTGGCTGTCACGGTGTCTGGGACAAAGCACCATCCAGGATTTCCCTCCTGATGCTCCGAGGGAAGGGCAGTGCTGGCTGTGCTGCTGCTGACTGAGCTGCCTGAACTGCTTGGGTTTCCTGGATTTCCCATTTTCTGGGATGGGGTTCCATGATGGGACTCTGGGATGGGGTCCAGCCATGGGCAGGAGCCCCTTGGGTCCCTCCTTCCTGGAGAGCTTCCTTCGTGGAATTCTCAGGGAAAAGCAGGTGCTGATCCTGCTGGGATGAAGCCCTGGCTGGCTGAGACACAATCCTTGGTCTCCTCCTGCTCCTCTGAACCCAGCACAGCTCCATGACCCCCCCCAAAAACCACCACGGGGGCTTGAGGGTGCTATCCTAAAATCAGGTTCCTTTAAGGAAGCTGTGAAATTCATCAGCATAATAATTAACTAATTTCACAGAAAACTGAAGTACAGGTGTGAAGATATTCTTCACAAGTTCCTTTTTTTTGTGAGAGCCTCAGTGTAAATAACCTTTTTTTTTTTTTTTTAATCCTGGTTCTTTCACTGGCAGATCTTTGTGCCGAAGCCCCGCACAACTCCAAGATTAGGATGTTTTTTTGCTCATTTGCAAACTTTAAAGCTTTTTAGTTGTTTTTTTTTGGCGCTTCCAATGAACTTGAGAAGCGAAGTGGGAGCTGTTCTCGCCTCCAGCCGGGAATGCCACGCTCCCACCCAGGCAAACTCTCAGCTCCCAGCGGGATCCCACCAAACCCTCTGATGTCCCCGCAGTTCTTGTCCCCATCCCCGCCCTCTCCCGGCTCTTCCCAGCTGCTTTTCCCCTTCAGAAGCGATTTTTTTTTTTTTTTTGAGGCTGCGTAACGACAATTATCATCAAAGGCAGCCGGTCCTTAGAGGTGACGGTGGGTGATGGAGTGAAAACTCAGCGCTAATTAGGGCTGTTGTGATTCTGCTTTGCCATAAAATGAGTAAAATCCTCAGGAATCCGTCTCGCCCCATCTCATTCGAGCCTTCAACTTGCCCAAATTTTGTCGTTTCGAACTTTTCCGGAAACCCCAGTTAATGGTTTAATTAAAAAATAATARTGATGGATGAATTCCGCAGGTGTGMGCTGAGTTATTGGAAGAAAAGTGATCCAAATTGGACTAATTAATGATGCTTCATTTGAGGTGGATGGGAGAGAGGAAAGGTGGTGTTGTCGCTGCAGAGCCACAAACAAAAATATACAAAAATACAAAAAAATACAAAAATAAATACAAAAATACAAAAATAAATACAAAAATGCATAAATACATAAATACAAAAATACCAAAATACAAAAATAAATACAAAAATACATACATACATAAATACAAAAATACCAAAATACAAAAATAAATACCAAAATACAAAAATAAATACAAAAATCCAAAAATACAGAAATATAGAAATACAAAAATAAATATGAAAATACAAAAATACAAAAATAAATACAAAAATACATAAATACATAAATCCAAAAATACAAAAATAAGTGATGATGACAAGGATCTGGTGCTGGACGATCCCACAGATCATTTTTTTCTGCTGATTTTGTTTATCTCCTTTTAAATTCAAATGCTTCTGGGACAAAATTGGTTGGGGGGAAAAGCCCTCTTAAGGAAAATAATGTTTAGAAATCCCCTTCTATGAGGGATATGTGGAAGGAGTCTGGCYGTGAGCAGCTCCCTGTGGGTTTGCTGTGTGCCAGCCACCACTGAGTGATCTCCTGTCCCCCTGTCTTGGAAAAACCTTTAATCCAAGCTCCCTGTCAGCAGGAATCAACCTCAGCCTTCTAAAATCACAGTTTCTGACCCACCAGCMCTGTGCTCTGGGGCGATCTCTCCCCCGGTGTGAATGGGAGAATCCAGTTTGGAAATGTATTCAGGACCAGGCAGAACGTATATTTTATTTATTGATGATAAAATATACATCAGCCAGGGGTTCTGAGCTGGTCAGACTGGTCCTGCTGTTCGTGTCTGACTGCTTTGGTGGGAGCAGCCAGAGATGCTGGTGCCAAGAGGGGTTTAACAGCAGAGGATGCTCCTTGCAGCTCCTCAAGTCCAGTCGTGCTGCAGTTTGCCCAATAAGATGATTTTTCTCGACTGRTACATTTTCCCCTTTATTTCTCCCCTTTTTCTTGCTCAGAGGAAACAAAAAAACCAGCTCTGCCGACCACGAGGATGTCAGTGCTTCTTGGATTTACATTTAGATAGGAAAAAAYGTGTGTCAAAGTTGTCCAGGGGCCTGGTGCTGGGAGGGGCCTTGTCAGTTTGTGTCATGCAGGCAGTGTTTTTCCATCTGAAATTGAATTGTGTTGGCAAAATTATTCCTTTCCTTGAGACGATTGTAGGGTGCGGAGAAAAACACGAGTTGTCTCTGCGGATGAGATTTGGGATGAGCTGGGATGTGGGGTGGGATGTGGGGTGGGATGTGGGGTTGAGCAGTGTCAGCCTTATTTTCTGGCTCACATTTACTCTGGTGGACTGCAGGCAGGGGACACCAGGGTCACTCACAGTCACCAGTGTCACCCCAGTGCCCTGCAGGGTCCCTTCCCAAGGTCACCAAGTGTGGGTGGCACTGAGTGTGGGTGCCCAGGGATGTCCTGGGGGATGCAGGCAGAGCATCCCATGGGGCTCTCCCTTTCCTCTCAGCATTCCCAGTGCCATGCAGGAGGTGACAATGCCAGGGGTGACCCCATGAGCCATGGGAACCCCTCCAGCCCCTAGGACACCCTATTTGTGCTCCCACAGCCATCCCAGGGGGTTTCTGTGYCCGTGACCAGAGGAAGCAGGGTTGGGGTGCTGCTTTGTGCCTCCCTGTTAGTAACAGCAGGACAAGGAGAGGAATTCAATGTGGCATTGAGCTGTGTTTAATTTGTGCCTGCAGCCGAGGAGCTGGGTCAATGGAGGCTCTTATCAGCCTGTGGAAGGGCTCAGCTTGATCTGGCAGAGGTTTTTCTCCCTGCTCTGCAGTTCCAAATAGCCAAACACAGGTACACCGTCACCCAGAGATTGTGCTCCGCTCTCCTCTCAGGGTTGGTGTTTCACTCTGTCCCCTGCTCTGAGCCCTCGAGATCCTTGATGATTCCCTTCCCTTGAGCACACAGGTCCTTCCCACCTTCTGCCCGAGCCAGGAGGGACAGGGAGGGCTCGGAAACACCAACTTTCAGGAAACCTCTCAGCAGCATTGAGGTTTGCGCCGACAGCAGCGCGTTCCCAGGAGCCGCGGTGACACCACGCGACCCAAACGGGGCTGTTCCTTTCCTYTCCTTGTTTTGATGAACTGAGATGCTCTTCCCCTGGGGCCCGTGTGCCTGGTGATTCCAGGCCTTCCATTATTTACTGTGACAGTGTGCCAGCTCCTGTGCCGTGGCCTGTCGCTGATCATCCCTCACCTTGTCACCGCCGCCGGCGCCGCGATTTCACAGCTGGCAGCTTCAATCACTGCGGATCTGCTGCGCCCTCCTCCCTGCCCTGGGATGGCTTAGGGACAGCAGGAAGGGTTCCTTTCCAGCTGGATGGACCTGGAATGTGAGGAACAGGGGTGCAGGGCTGAGTTGGTGTCCTTGGAGTGTGAATGGGGTGATGCTGAGCCTGTGGAGCCGCGTGGGTTGTGTCAGATTGTAAATCCTGGGATGGTTTGGGTTGCAGGGACCTTAAAGATCATCCTGTGCAGGGGCAGGGATACTTTCCACTATCCCAGGTTGCTCCAAACTCTGTCCAGCCTGGCCTGGGACACTTCCAGGGATGGGGCAGCCACAGTTTCTCTGGGCAACCTGTGCCAGGGCCATCCCACCCTCACCAGGGAAGAATTCCTTCCCAATATCCCATCCATCCCTGCCCTCTGCCAGTGGGAAGCCATTCCCCTTGTCCTGTTCCTCCATGCCCTCATCCAAAATCCCTCTCCTGCTCCCCTGGAGCCCCTTTAAGCACTGGAAGGTGCTGGAATATGCAGTTTACCTTCACAAGTGCCACAGGCAACCAGCCCTGTCAGGCACTGGGAGCACTGGGGTGAGATTGGGGGGTTCAGCAGCCACCCCCCTCACATTCAGGTGCCGTGCCAGGTTCAGACCCTCCCCTGGTGTCCCCCCCATGCAGGAGCAGCAGCTGGCAGAGCTGGCAGAGGTGAGGCAGGCGCTGCAGGCTGACCTGGGCACCTCCATCCGCCGCATCGCAGAYCTGCAGGTGGCCCTGGAGGGGCTGCGTGACAGCGACGACAGCGACGCTGAGAGGTGAGGAACAGGGTTTGGGGGAGTTTGGGGGGCTCAGCTGCAATGCCAGGGTGGCTGCAGTGTCACATCCTCATCCTCAGTGTTTGTGCTGCGTGTATGAGCCAAAAACTTGGTGTTGATGGGAGGTTTGGTGGAAAAGCATCACCATGAAATCACYCTGGGTGGCCCAGCTTGAAGTTAGCAAAAAGGGTGGGAATAGCCCCGTTTGAAGAGCAGGTCCCTGGCAGCAGCCTGATGGGTTCTTGGAGTGAAAATCCTGCTTTGATCATCCCCAGGAGCTGGAGGAGCCAGTGTAACTGGGTGATTGGGTAGAGGGTTTTTTACTAGGCAAAAAAAAAAAAAAAAAAAGAGGAGAAAATTCCGGCGTGTTTTTCAGGTGTTATTTCTAAAGCCCTTCGATTTGCCCCTCTGCCACGCAGCTAAAGGGGCATCTTGACAAATGGAGACAAAACAGATAAATGAGATTATTAAAAAAAAAAAAAAATGGGAATGACCCCCGGCTCTGACCAGCCCCAGCTCCTGCTGCAGTTTTGGGAAATTTTGTGCCTCTTCAGCCCTCTGGCGGGTTTGGGGTGTCCATGTTAGCCTCCTGGTGGGTTTGGGGTGTCCATGTCAGCCTCCTGGTGGGTTTGGGGTGTCCATATCAGCCTCCTGGCGGGTTTGGGGTCCCCACGAGCCATTGCTGACCCTCTCCCTGGTCATTGCAGCGTGCGGACGGCGCGGGAGTCGCTGTGCTCCAGGAGAGACACGTGAGTGACACTGGAAGATGCTGTCGAGGGGCAGAGCCTGAGGATGATCTGACACGGCTCCTGGAGCTCCAGCTGTTGTTCTTTGGGGGTTATGGAGCTCCAGCTGCTGTTCTGAGGGTTATGGAGCTCCAGCTGCTGTTCTGAGGGTTATGGAGCTCCAGCTGCTGTTCTTTGGGGGTTATGGAGCTCCAGCTG